GCGCCGGAGGCTGCTGAGAGCGGCGGGAGGCGCCGGCAGCCGTGCGTCAGGGCACGCAAGGTTTGAGCAGAGCCAAGCCCTGGCTCACCAATATGTACCAGTGCAGCCAGTGCAAGAGAGAACGGGGCTGTGCAAACCCCCTCTGCACCGTGGGCAGTCGCTGAGCAGGGCTGCATGTCCCTGAGCCACGGCTACCTGTGGAATATCAAAGCAGCCTGGCCAAAGGGGGACAGGCAGGTTGCAAAGCTGCCAGCCAGGCAGCCGTGTGCTCACGCAGGTCTGAGGTTCTGGAAAAAATAATAAAAAAAACCCAGTGGATGTGAAAAACACCTCTATTTAGGACGAAAATGGGACAGAGTCCCACTTCCCTGCCTCCCCAGCCTGATTCACCAGGGTGCTGGGACAGAGCCACCTAACCCCATCGGGGTGCTCTTACTGGGGTATAGGACCCCCATAATCCTTTATTGCCTGCATTTTTTCTTGTTGGAACGATGAAAAGTGCTGGTTCCTCTGCAACCCCCAGATACATGGTTCATCACCTCTGCTCATCCCCGAGCAAAGTAGGGAGGTGGCCCTGTCTGGGTATCTTCAAAGGATGGGAAGAATTAAATTGTGGGATTGATGGAAACAGTATCCCTACAGCCTTCACCTCTAACAACACCAAATCCCCACAGATGGGGTGGTAGCACCCTCTGTTTAGCCCTGCCAGCAGCTGGCAGCAGGATGAGACAATGTCCGACTGCATCAAAGGCAAAAGCTTCAGCTCCTGGTGCACACCCAGCCCAGCAGTGAGAGCCCGCTGTCAGCAGCGTCACATCTCCCCTTCCCAGCCTGCCTCTAAGCTCTAGTATAATTAGTGATGAATGTAAATAACACAACCAACCAGGTAAATAATGCAAACAACTCAATCGTATCACTGCCCTACGATCCTCTGCTGTTACCCAGATACTGTGATGACAGGCGTGTTAGAACTCAGTGTAAAAGGCCAGGGACATTAAATCAATGCACAGCACCATGTGCGAGACAGGCCAGCAAAAACCTAGTGCTTCTTTTTGGTACTAACAGTATTATCTGATGGTTTCTGTTGGAAAAGAAAGGTGGGGGTGGGGGGGGGGGGGGAAGAGAGGAGAAAAAAAA